CCTCTGGACTTGTTCCCAAAGGTTGATATCTGTCCTGTGCTGGGGACCCCAGATCTGGATGCAGTACTCCAGGTGGGATCTCACCTGTCCATCTGTAGATGGACAGAATCACTTCCCTTGACCTGCTGGCCCCACTGCTTTTGATCCAGCCCAGGATACAAATGGCTTTCTGGGCATACAGTTGGCTTGAATTGACCGAAGATGCTATCACCCAGTTCTGAAATGATTTCACATGTATTACTTTGTTTATTGCTATTGCTCTGAACCATAGTTCTCTGCAAGCAGTCACCAGTCAGTCAGGCTAAGCTTTAAACATAAAAGTGTGTAAAAAAACTCCCAAAACCCGTGTGATTTCTCAGAGTGTTTACCAGTAGACGACAAACCTGTAACTACAAGATTTTGTACAGAGTCTTATAGTAATTAGTGTTTCTACAAAGACAATGAAAATAACATGCACAAAGCTGGAATTTGGCTGTGAAACCCAGTACTTGTTAGATTTATTGGTCCATAAAAATTGCAGGCATAAAACCAGCCTTCTTTTGGTTTTTTTTATGAAATCTGTTAAAAAAACCTAACTCTATAAAACAGTGTTACATTTGGTGATATCTCTGAAGTTACCAAAAAAAGACTGAATCAGGGCAAACCAGCTCAAATTTTAAAGCACTGTCTGCATTGCTGCCAAAATACAAAATCATCTTCAGTGCCACGGCCTTATTTTATAGCTCATGCCTGAAGACAGATTTTATCGTTCAGATAAGGTCTTTTGAAAAAAGACATTTACGAGTCTTTTATTAAAGGGGATTCTTCACTGGGTACCACTGTAATAAAATCATATCTCTGCAAAACAGATGATAGTGTCACTTTGACTGTTAGCAAGCAACAGTGTTGTTTCAAAGCCTGGCCACAAACCATATAAAAAAATGCTCCATACACAAAAATGCACTGGATCAGCAAAGGTTTATGTTATCTTTTGTGCAGAACTTGTATATTCCCTTCAAGGACAGTTGTCCAAAAATGAAAAGTGCAATTCTGACATTGGAAAGTTTTGGTTTTAGAAAACCTATGAGCTAAGCATGGTTTGACTAGATTACAGTTCTCCAGTCCATGGGGAGTTCCCAAAGCCAATACTGGTCCATTGTTTAACATTTTGTTACAACCTGAAGATGCTATTGCTGCTAAATGTGCAAGGGCAAAGGAGAGAGACTTTGATCAGTCAGTCTGTTTAGTTGTAGTTTCACTCTCTGGCTCTGATTTGTCTCTCTCCTATCTGCTTTACAAAGGACAAAGCCCAGGCACAGTTCTGGGGACAGTGCACTCCAGGCTCTTTTTCTAAAAGGTAATACGTACAGGACTATCGTGGCTTTGTCTCTCTTCTCTACAGTCTTCCATAATATATCGGCATCTTTTGCAGTCCGCTCACAGAGTGCCCTCCGCTTTTGCTACAGTGTATCCCTGGGCATGGAATACACACCCTACATCGCCGGCTGTTAGAACACCCTGCAAAACACCTCTTACCTTATTTTAAACACTTTGAACTGAAAGCAGCAGACTGAATAATAACATATCTTAAACCACCAGGATACCACTGAGGCATGAGGAGATCTGCTCTGAAGGGAGCTTTAGTGGTGTGGCCACGGGCCAGTCTGTGCTACTTAGGGACTTCTACTGAGCAGTAGTAAACTAACAGCAAACCGCAAACAAGCTGAACAGGGCCAAGGCATTGGCTTGAGAAGCAGCATTTATCAGTTGTGCTGTTTGGTGCTTACCAACTCTCTACCTGGCTCAGTTTTGCCACATGACCTTTTAACTGGCATTCCCTCAGAAGATGGCCAGGACTGACTTGAGGGATAACAGGAGGCAAGGGGCTGGTTGCAATACCTGACATGGTGAAGACCATGCTGTGGAGAAGATCTATCTGTGCTGCTCTAAGCAAGTCAGGCTGTCCCATTCATTTGCACAATCAGAAAACATACCCCAGTCATCCAGCTTACTGATACAGATGTGACCATCTTAATCAGCATTATAGTTTGTGTAGCAAATGTGAAAGGAAAACACTACAAAGCTGTTTAAAATATGGTAGGTTCTTCTTCATTGTAATATCCTTTTGTAACTTGGTGACCTAATTGGATGAATTCAGTATGTTTTTAGTGCTGTTAAACAGAGCCCAGTTTCAATCCCAAGCAAAGTTTCAACGTTTTGACATTGGGTTTATTACACATGAAGAAAAAACGTGAGCATATGGTTCTCTAGAGAACACATGTTCCTGATGTTTTTAAAATCTAAATGAAATGTTATCATGGACCACAATCAAAAAAATTCACTTTGTTTTACAGAAGTGAGCCTAAATGATTCATTTTCAGGTCTTCACTTCCCATCATATACCCAGCATAATGAAGTAGTACGATTATGCAGAGTGATCAAAAGAAAACATGTATTGACAATGAAAAGTGTAGGGATTGAGAGCCTCTAATCTAATCACTGAGGCAACAATTTTGCTGATCATGGGTTTCATCTGATCAGGTGTAGACATCTACTGCTGAGCTGGTTGTCTGCTCTCTTATTAGAGTCACTTGAAAGAAACAGGCACTGTTTGTAAAGTGAACAAGCTTCAGTTTCTGAATGTAACTTAACCACACAGATTGAGCTAATGATCTAATTCTAGGTAATTTTAATGAGTAGAAACAGGCCTTTCGGAGTGAAATTTTTTGCCAGTATTAACTTCAGAGCCAGACAGAAAAGACCTAGAGGCATGTATTTTCTGTTTTTTCATAGTTGAGTAAATTTCTGTCAGGTATTTTACTGCCCATATTGCCCAAGAGATTCTCTGCAAAACTCCTCCACCACTGGAATCTGAAGCAGCCCAGAAAGCATGATCTCTGTAGTATATCTCAGGATAATCCGTGTCAGTAATGACAGCCAATGACAATGAAGTGAAAAGCAGTAAGAGCTTTTCTGAATGCCAGGGGGTAATCAAGCTTTTGAACTCATGTGTCTGGCATCAGATCACTCTGTGCTGCATTTATTAGAACAGTCTGGTGAAAAACTTAATCAGGCACATCTTTAAACACCACAAGTGAACAGTCATAGATTCTGAACAACTAGAATTTTCTTTGTACTTGATGTAAGTTTGACTTGTTTGCGGGACTAACCAAAAAGAAATGCGAACGTTTCCATTTCTGAAGAGTTAAGAATGCCTTGCTGGTTTCTCCTGGACAGTGAAGGAACTTCTGTAAGCTTGCTCTCAGCTCGTGACTGCTATAGGTCTTTCGAAAATCAGAGGGTAAACCCACGACTCCACCCAACCCAAACTTTGTGTACCCCATTCTGTTGCCACAGAACAGAGGTAGGAGGAAAAGCATCCCATCACGCCTCAGCCTAAAGTTAGGTGGTTGCTATGATAAGTGAAAATCCCTTCTCTACTAATCTTTGCTACCTTAATTGCCATCAGTAAAACCTTGAAAGGCAGAACTACCCATCTTTATGAAGAGCTTTTTATGTCTGAAAGACATTATCTAACACTGTGTGACATATTGTAACTCTCCACCTCCAACTACTGTCTAGAGATATAAGAAGCACTGAAGCAGCCTGTTCCTAAATTTCATCATGCTATGATAGCAAATCCTGACTACCTGGACAAGATATTTCTTAAAAATTCACTTTGTTGAAAGTGAATGGAGAATCTTTGCTAACCTAAAAAAATTCAATTATGTTTTTCCCCAGAGCTCACAAATCCCATACAGGTATAGTGGCATAAAATTATGTATCCCATGCTTTGACTTTTGGATGATATATTTTGGCTGTCTTCGTGGGTGTTGCTATGGACCTAGTGCAGGTGGAGGGTATTCCAAGCTTCAATGCTAATTTCCAGCCATTTAGGAACTCTCCAAAATGATGGTAGGTTGCACAAAAAGCTCTTATAAGATGGTCAAGATGGACTTAGTTGTGAATCTAAGAGTATTTCTGGCATTTTTAATGGTCCACTTTCTGTTGATTTTATGCTATTTACACTTTTTTTCATATGCAACAAAACAGGCCATCAGAGATGTCTTAGCAGTGTAAGTGAAAAAAAGATATTTGAAACAGCAAACCTAAACCTCTGATGACAGATTACAGAAGCCTCTGGATTGAATAGTTGGCAAAGCACTCCCATACTTAACCGTTCTCCTTCACTTCTGCATATTATGAGTTTGGCATTGCCCACACCAGAAAATCCCTCAAAGGGCTTCCCTTTTGAGGGATTTTCTCAAGGTAACTTCTGTTACAGTAGCTGGAATTTTTCAGACTGGGCTGCCTACTCTTATCTGCCTTGTTTTCCTCAGCAAGGGAGCTGCTATGTTACATGCACAGGCTGTCCTTTGTGACCCCACTGTGCTGCATGAACCCCCACAGAATGCATGTCCACTATGTATCATTATAGGCATGTATAGATAGTTAAATATTCACAGTGTTGTCTCTCACATATACACAGCAAAGAGGCTGCAAGGCCAGGTATGAGTGTGCCATGCATATGCCAAGAGCTCTTGCACAGTTCCACACACTCACAGCTAAAATGACTTCTCACTTCTAAACCTGCTTTCCTCTCACAATCATTGCTGTCTTGCAGCCCAGGGTGATGGTAGCTCTGGTATCTTCACTTAGGTAACTTTTCTGCCAAGGACTGACTGGCAAAATGGCACAATTCAGCCACTGGGCCAAGCTAGGGCCCTGGGGTCCCTAATAAAAAAGCAGAGGCACACACTGTTTTGCACTCCATGCAGAACTGTGGGAATATTAAATTGAGAAAATGAAACCAAGCTCTCTAGGCTTTGAAGAAATGGTTTCCTTCAGTCATAAGCAATGCATTGTACAAACAGGTGTAAACAAAGGGAACACGGGGGGAGAGAAACAAAATAATACATCATAATTATCCCCAGAGGCAAACTACTACCCCAGAATATACCACTGCCAGGAAAAATCCAAGTTCTTCCCTTGTGAGAGTGGAAGCAGGACATAGTGGCTCACCTCAGACAACCACAACAGACATCACCTTGTGTCCTTTTGTGCTCTTGAAGCTTGTTTTTCAGGTCGTGGCTGAAAATGATGGTCTAGATCTTCTTGGAGAACTGCCTGAAATTCTTTTTCTCTCAGCTAGTTGCCAGTGGATAAGGAAAGCCATCCTCACCTGTAGCTGTGATGGGTGACATGACACCTGAATGGAAGGCAAGTAACTTCATAAATTATTAATATTTTATATGACAAAGACTTTGGAAGAAAATAATGCAACGAGAAGAGCAAAAAGATACATTCAATGCATGAACCATCTTCCCAACCTAACTTTTTCCACTGCAAATGACAAAAGATACACTCCTTCATAGGAGCTATTAACCAGCAATTTTTCCATGGCAAAGGCTTTGTAGTATTGCTGTGTTATCTGTCCAATGGGACAGATAACAGAATGGGACATCTTTTCTGGGTTCCCAGGAACATGGAATTAACTTAAACTGTGGTAATCTTAGTTCTCATACAGGAATTTTAGTCATAGTGGAACTCTCCTTTAGAGTTTTAAGTTTACATGGTGACTAGAAATTACCTGGCAGACTTCATAACGAACCTAGACAGATGTGGGCTTGGGAGTTCCTCTTTTGCATTTTGGTGACAGTTTCTCTCTGCACTTTCCTGCATAGGGGAGATTTTGAAATGTCTTGTGCACCACATATGGTTTGGGAATCCCTGACTGGAGGCCAGTCTGAGCTGCCTCCCACACTTCTCCCAGCCTCTCACATGTATTCTGGGGCTCTGCTAAGAACTATTCTGAAGCTATTTTTGGCTTCAGAAAACTGTGTTGTTTATTCCAAGAACCTGTCTGAAGAATTTACACATCAAAGCCCATGCTGCCAGGAATATGAAAATTATAAGTGCAATACAAAGGATGTTTAATAAAATCAAGATGTGATCCTAATGAAATAAATGCTTATTGTGTCTGCTCTAGCAAGCAGAAGATCTTTAGGTGTGTGAAGGTATAGGACAAAAATGCTCAGCTACTGGTGAAGTTGATGGCTTAAGGTTGCTTGGACCAGTCATCACAGCTAAAGGAGGGAGTTCCTTCATCCTACATTTGTCTCCCCTTGATCGCAGTTGTGTTATTTCCCTCTTTATGTTGCCCCAATTTGCCCTTGTCAGACTCTGAGATGATTTAGCTTCCTTACTTGGCAGAAAACTGACCCAGAAAAAAAAAGGTCTTCTGCTTGTTTAGAGATGGACTAGGGTTTCGTGGATAGAGAGGTAGAGATAGCAAGGAGAACACCTCTTTTAGAGTCCATATCTCTTTCACCATTGTTTAAATTTAACCCTGGCTTTAGAGGGTTTAATCCCTGCACTAAGATCTAGTCCCAGTGGTACTGAACTAACTGCTTTAATGCTCTTAGCATTTCAGAAAGAGAATTCCTGCCCCCTCTGAAATGGCAGGAATTGGCTTTAGTGAAACCATAGTAATACCTCTATTTGTGGAAATTTGTTAAGATTGCAAATAAGAGTTAATATCCCAAGCTAATAATGGTTCCTTTCTGCCAGTGTAAGGTAGGGTTAATAGCTTTTCAGAGTTGCTATGAAATGAAAGCTGCGTGCTAGAGTTGTACAATGAGAAGCATCAAACTGTATGACATGGAAGGGTGTGAATCACTGCAGAAATATGGTACTAGCATTTGGTGTCGACAGGAAGGTGGGCTGGACTTCACAGAATCTGAATTCTGGCCTGTGCTTTGCCCATGACTTAGTTTATGGTCTGGAATGGGACACTCAACCCTTCTGCTTGTTACCTCGTGTACAAATAAAACCAAATTGTTATTCACTTATTGCTTGTACACCAAGGAATTTAAAAACAAGCCACACCCTTATGCAAATGATGATTAGTGCAGTTTCCCGACCCAGGGCACTCCTGGAGGTCGTGTTTCACGTGGAGTGCCCTCTCCAGCTGCTTCCCCAAAGCCACCCCCGCGCCTCCAAACCACAGAAACTCCGTGTGCCCAAACGCACAAACTCGTGCGGGGTTTTGTCCCGGAGACAACCCTTGACTCCTGCAACTCTCTACCTCATTTCAATTTGCTCAGCATCGTTTGGCAATGGTGGAATGCCATTTCTGGGATTCCAGCTGCTCTCGCCTAGGAAGGAACAGCAGGTCCCGATACCGAGAAGTCTCGCTGCTCTGCCCGCCTCCGCGCGCCAGCCGCTGCTTTCTGTGGAAAGACTGGGGCTCTGGCTGTCACCGCAGCTCAGCGCAGCCACAGGAACCCCTTTCCCCAGTGACACCGCTCCCGTTACGGAAACCAAACCAGCCAGGAAACGGCCTGTTTGTGAGACCGGGAACCGCGGCCGGGAACCGCCTCAGCCCCCAGGCCTTGCCAAGCCGCGGCCCTCGGGCGCCCCCTGCGGGGAGGCGGCGGCGGCCGCCCCGGTGGGGCCCCTGCTCGGCCAGCGCCGCGCTCGGGGCACCGGGCGGGCCCCGCCGCCACCCCGCTGTGTCCCTGCCTGTGAACAGCTGCGGGGGGCGAGGGGGCATGGCTGAACGTGTGCCCTCCCTCCCAGGCCATACCATCAATGGGGCATGGCTGAAACGAGTGCCCTCCCTCCCAGGCCATACCATCAATGGGGCATGGCTGAACGTGTGCCCTCCCTCCCCGGCTATACCATCAACTAGCCAAGAAGATCGAACAGAAAGTATCCCTAAGTCTCTCGGTGTTCAGCTGGGATTTACGCTTCCTAGAGGTTGTTAAACGGAGGGGAGCTGTGTGAAAGGACTGTGGCAGCGTTCCCTGCACGTTCGAACACTGCAGAACAGGCTGACAGTGCCCAGGGGCTGCCCCTGAGGTCTGTCACGACAGGGCCTGACTCCTGAGAAAAACAAGTAGTTTCCATGCTAGGCTTTCCAATAACTATCAGCCACAGCAGGCTGCCTCAGTGGTGATAAGGAAGGGCAGTGTGAGCACACTTGTGAAGCCCTGGACAGACAGAGGGAGAAAACTTTGGTGGTGGAATTTTTGTCTGCACTGTGAGCCGGGCAGGTCCCCCCTGCACTTGGACAGCCAGGGGCTGACAGGCTGGATGGCAGTGCTGCCAACAGGACCTGGGATACAACAAAAATTATTAATAGAGACCCTTTTGCAAGGATGGCCCACAACATCCCAGACTCCACGGGGCAGCAGCACCAGCAGATTGAGGGAGGTGATCCTTCTCCCCCTCCTTGACTCAACCCTGGTGAGACCACAGCTGGAGTGCTCTGTCCAGGCCAGGGCTCTGCAGGGCAAGAAGGGCATGGACATAGTGCAGTGAGTCCTGCAAAGGATCACTGAGATGAGAAGATTAAAGGATTAGAGATGTGCAAGTAGAAGCTGAGAGACATGGGATTGTTTAGACCGCAGAAGAGAAAGCTCAAGGGGCTATTATCACTGTGTTCGAATATCTGATCGATGACAGTAAATAGGATGGACCCAGACTCTGCTAAGTGGAATCCAGTGAAAGAACAAGAGGGAATTGGCACAAACTGAAATTGAGAAATCTCATTCAAACATAAGGAAAACTTTTCTACTGTGAGGGTGGTCAAACACAGGTACATGCTGCTGGGACAGTCTGCAAATTCTCTGTCCTTGCAGATTTTCAAAACCCAGCTGGACACCACCCACAGGAACGTGCTCTAGGAGACCGTTCTTTAGGCAGAGAGGTTGGACTGCATGGTCTCCAGAGGTCACTGCCAACCTCTTTTTAAAATAAATGTAAAGAAGAAAAAGATAGCGGGAAATGAGAAGATTTTCCTTGCTCCATGGATCCTAAAGACTGAAACAAATAAGATGGTGTTTTTTTTTTTTCCCCTTTTGTTGTTGAATTGAGTTAGGTGAAAGCATGAAGTTGTATGGGAAGGGCATTGGTAAACATAATACTTCTATTATTACTCAGTCAAAAGGATTGCAACCCTCAAATGGGGATTTTTTTATTTTGCTGGCCTATAAATCCGTTGGGAATAACCTTGTGTTTTGGCTGGCTGCCTTTTTCAGCAGGGAGATTAGCAATAGTTTTATTTGTCGTCTTCAGGCAGGTATAAGCCACCTTCACCATTGAAATAGTATGTGTGGGCTTGTTCACTGCAACCTTTTAGAAATTTAACTATGTATTTTCATGGCCACAGAAATGAAAACTAAGTCTTAAACTGTAGGTATGGACTTGGATTTAGAACATCTAGTAATAAAGAGTGCAGCAATTTGCTTCTGCAGTCCAAATGTCTAAATGGATGCTCCCTGAAGTTAACTGTAATATAGCAATCAGCCTCTCTCTGTCAAACTACACAGCATAAGATCCTTATCCAAGAAAAACCTCAGCTTCAGGTTTTGGGTAACTGTTAATCCCCATCATAACTTTTCCATAAATACTGTGTAGCTAGTAAATACTAGCTACAGGCTTGACTTTTGATCCTGTCTATCTTTCATATCCTGAAAGGCATATATATGATCTGTAATATATATGGCCTATATGATTTACTTAGGAACTGCATTGTCAAATCCTGATGTTACTCCCCATTCCTATGTCTAACCATGAAAACACTTCAGAACCTTTACTTTCATGTTTGGATTCAAGCAAATCTAGGAACCTGAAGGAGAATTTAGTCAAAATGTCAGTGAAAGAAAGTGTCTTGCTCAACAATCTGTGTTTGCATCTCAGAAGTTGCTGTGGACTGATGCTGTCTACTTAGGAAACCATACTTTTTACCCTCTCGTAGTCTGTAAAATGTTGGCCCGTATTAGACCACGTTGCAGTAGAAGTTGCAATGTTCCTGTGTCAGTGCAACAGGAAGCATATGCTTCTTTTCTGGGTTGTGCAGACTTGTGTTTTAGAAAGCCAGTCTTCTGAAGGTTTTGCTGTCTTCTTGGACAGTTTACATACTGAAGATGAACTTTGCCCTGGGATGCATGATGAGCCAGCTGATTGCTTATGAGTAGGCGACCAACACGAGTGTTATGATGGGGTCTGCTACAGACAGGAAGAAGTAGTAGATGAGGCCTCCTGGCTAAAAAACATAATTAAGGAACATAGAAGAGGTAGGAGGGCCAGGCCATTCCTCTAAACCTTGGAGGAGCAAAGACACTGCCTAGGTGTGCAGGAAATGAGGAAAAGTGAAAGTTCACCTGAAGTTGAATCAACCAAGGGATGTGAAGAGCATTAGGTGAATTAATGTAGGGCAAAACAACCTGAAATTATCATTTTTCATAAGGGACATATTCAAACAGAAAAAGTGCACTTTCTTTAAGGCAAGTAACTTCTTTCACATGTGAATTCACAATTGCTTGAAGATTAGATTGCTCCCAGTCTCCTATTTGTGTGCAATGAATTCAGAATTTTTATTCTTGTAGCACACCAATGTTGTGGTACAAAATATTTATTCTGCATGTAACAACCAACAACGTAGCAAAATTTCCAAGTGTGATTTTCCTGTTTGCATGTCTACCTTCTGTCATATTGCTTTTATTCACTTATAACTTTGTAGACAAAATATATGATTCTAGAAAATGAGAAAACTGCCTTGTGAGATCCGAAACTCCTGAGAGAAAACTTAGTGATTTTTTTTTTTTACAAAGCCAACACTGAGAACTTTGGACCACAAGTGGAGTGAAAAGTGCAGGTGTTTAAGAAATATTTTTTTTCCTAGAAGTAGCACTTTTCATTGTATTTGCACAAATTTGATGAAAAAATACCATTATTCAGATAAAGATAATCTTTCTTGTGGCACAATGCTGTTATGACAGGATATGCTGTCTCTTTAGAAACTGATTGGAGACTGCTCAGTCTCTACGGCCCTTCAACCTTTTAACTTTGTTTCCTAGCACGGAGTTCAGACAGCCAGCTGGAAGTTCACCTATGTGACGTGAATTTTATGCTCAGACCAGGACCAGGACCAGGACCAGAATAGTATCTTTTATCACTGGATGCAGGCAGTGAGACACTAGAGTTATATCTGTGAGAACTGGAAGAAAAGAATGAATCCCAACAGGGGCTGTAATTTAGGCAGGCCCTTTTAAAGCTCTTTATTATTCAGTGTAGGATTGCTATATTTCTGTCTCATCATCCAGACTGAAATATGGGTGTGGATGTTGAGCAAACCATTCACAACAAATCTGAGGCATACCAACTGGCATGAAGTGCATGAAAAAGTAGGATCTACTGAATCCCATCTTTGTCAGAGTGACTATGTTTCAGCTGTTGAGTTGCAATGGAATGATCATGAGTTTGACTGAGATTCCTGAACTCCTCACAGGCTGCCCGCACAAAACTTGCAGATGGAAACATATGATCTGAGAACTCAAATGAATGACAACTTGGTTTCCAGACAGTTCCTGGTTGTACCTGTAGGCTTTTCATTGTCAGGGACTAACTGAAGAGCCATCTGATAAGTTCTAGAAAAATCATGAGAAAGACACATGTGGTTTGGATTTTTTTTTTTTTAAATTTTAGCTTTTTAAATAAAGATTTCTTCTTCCCCTATATATAAAATATTTATTTATTCATGATCTTTTTTTCCATTGCCCTGAGACTTTAATGCTTTTCAGGAGCTGTATTTTAGTCCAACTTTGCATATTGGGAAGGCTCAATAAATTAAGACCTTTATGTCTGAGACAATTTGGCCTTTTCCTTCAGCTATTAGATTCTTCAACAGAACTAATTTATGTTCTAATTTTTTTTTTTTATTTTTTTAGTTTGCCTAGTTTTGTATTGGACCACTTACCATGAATCAAACAGACTATAGAATGAAATAACTACAAATTTAAAAAGCTGAAAATGTTACTGAAATTCACTGTTTGTATGACTTTTCTGTATTTTCAACTGTAGAGAATTGTAGAAGGAAACCTAGAGAGAGAAAAGCTGAGACTCAGGTAGAGAAAAGGTGGAAATGGTTTTTGCCTGATTCTCCCTAAGTTGCTTCTTAAACTAAAATGCTTTAAGAGTTTGTTTAAACAGAAAGTTGGTTGCGCATGTCTGAAACACATTTGCGGGTCAAGAAGCTTAAATTAGAATTTGTGGGAATTACAAAATTATCTAACGATATTCTTAAACATACAGATGTCAGACTGATGAACTATTTTGGAACACATCTGTTGGACTTGGGTACCAAAAATGTTTAGACTCTCAGATATAGTCCCTCTCCTGGATTTTTTCAAAAATACTTGAAATTGGTAGGATTATTCCCCAGAATCAGAGCATTCCACAACTCTGCTCTGTCCAATTCACTAAATCTGTATGTACACTTGTAACTCCATTCCCAAGAAGCTTGGAAATATTTGGGTGTATTATTGAGCAAGGCCAGTGGAAGTAAATATTCATACCTTCAATAAGAATAAAGTTTCTATAAAGTACATGTTGCTGAATGTCTCATTCTGCTTTCCAAAATGCATTACTCTTGAAGCCAATAGGATTAGGGTAAAGCTGGAAGATAGTTCCCT